ATGATTTTGTGGACATCGTGGAAAAACATGCAAGTGAACAGGGAGTAGATGAGTCAGAATACTTAAAAGAAGTTGTCCAAAGATGTGAAAAAAGAAGGGGAAAGAAGGATGGAGTAAAACTTCCAACAATATCAGTACAGGAAGCAACTGCTTTAATCTACAACTTGGATCTATCCATAAATAAATATCAGGTGAAATATGCAATCAAATATTGTTGTAATTAATTGTTTTTGTAATTGTACGTTTAAGTTTCATATATTTCCCCAGAAGCTGAGACTTGAGCTTCTCAAAACTAATGTTGCCAACAAGGAATGATGTAGATACCTTTAAACGTACTTTGCTACAAAAGAAATTGAGTAGTGATGATAAACAAACTTCATCCCCTGTGAACAATGTTATCAAAGACACTGTTGAGTCTCTACTTGATATATCCGGGTTTTGTGCTGAAATTCATTCTATACATGTAGAGCGTAAATTTTGACTTGATGGATCTGGAAATCACAACTATTGTCATCAGTTTTTCAATCCTCAAGATGCAGACTTAAAAGGAACAAATTATATTTGTTCTTTTTGGTGTCTCCTTGAAACAAAAGATTCAAAAATTTAAGTTATCTGGACTAATCAACCCCTAACTCCATTAATTTTTTTAGGCCTGTTATTCTAGTGAAAGCAAAAGAAACTAGGGAGAGTGTAAAAGAGTATTTTAAACCAACTCTGTGTCAACTGCCTAAAAATGAAAATTCGCCTATTCTTTCAGAAAATGGTTTGCAAATATTTGTAAAAACAGAGATAAGTATGGTTGATGGCAAAATGGTAAATTTATTGGTGGGTGATTCTGGAGCTTTTTGTCACTACTGCAAATGTTCCAGAGGTGATGTAAATGACCTGGTATGTATACTACATGGGCTCACCATAAATAAAAACTATAATGATTTGCTCAGTGCTTGGAGAAGACTAGAAAATAGCGAAATCTCCTACAAAGATACTGAATGACATGGACTATGCCATGAACCTATAGTTGAATCAGATGTAAAAATTTTTGCCATTCTACATCAAAAGCTACGTGCACTTGACCACTGTCTGAAGTTGTTATATCACATTGCGGGCCAAAAAACTCATACATGGTCTGAACAGGACATAAAGGTAAAAACTACTCTGAAGACAGCAAAAAGAAAAGTTACTCAAAATGCACGCGAGAAAACAGGAATGCTTCTTGATTCTTCTACTTCTAGTAGTGGTAACACTAACAATGGACCATTAGCAGACTGTTTTTTTAGTCCAAAAGAAAGAAAGTCTATCTGTTCCGCAATTTTTAAAACAGAAGACCAAGATAGCTTCTCGGCTTTGTTATCTAAGTATGGATTGATGATATTCCATAAACAACATTTCCATGGGCTTTGCTTAGCCCCAGCTTGCATCAAATGTGTGCACATGCCTGGGAACTATTTGTTATTACAGGTGGATAATCCATTGCTAAGTACTCCAAGCAGTCAGGCGAAAGTTGGAATAAATACATTAAGGCTTATAAATCAGGAACAAGTTGTAAAGCAAGACAAATGTCTTTGCAAATTAATACACATGACTTTTACTGCAGACTGATGATAAAGACACATCCAATTATTGCCAGAAAAAAAAGACTTTTGCAATGTGGAACGTGTGAAAAATTTGGACATACCACAAGAAGGTGTAAAGTAGACAAGAACAACGTACTTAATGAAGAAAAAATGATAATTCAAGAATATTTTATGTGACCATAAAAACTAGATAAGACTAATATCAGTGTATATTTGTGTTTAATATCAAATTATTATAAACTCAAATATATTTCATTATGAATTGGAATAGTATCCTTTTCTAAGCAACTTAGCAAGCTAATAGCTTGCTAGTCACGGGAATCGAGGAGCTATTTGTTATATGGGACGGGGGGCGGTGGATGACAAATTAAAAAAAAAAAAAAAATTTTAATTTATACTTTATAGTTTATTTAAAAATTTTGAAAAAAGTAAGGACATGACTCTCGGCGCTCCTCCCCCTCCCATACCGTTGCCCCATTATCTGGGTTAGAGTGCACCCACGTAAAATTCAACTTCAGAATCAGATTCGTCAGCCCAAAAATTTAATATATTAAAATTTTCAAAAGATTTCATTAACAAATAACGGATTTATGAATTTTTTCCAAAAAACTACATTCTGGGCACACTGTGCTCTGCATTGGAAAAGAGCGTTTTGGTGTGGCCGATGTAGTTCCACTTGTTAACACAATTTGGATAATAATCCAAATATTCTGAATCATTTGGCGATTTTTTTTTTTTTTTTTTTTCTTTTTTTCTTTTTCGTTTGATAAAATTTACAATAAGAAAGATCGTACATATAAAATATATATCCGGAGCAAGAAGAAGACGTATATTGTCTTATCGCCAAGCCCCGTTTATATTGTTGCCTTCAGTTTATGTAACAAGTTAAAAATTACAAAATACAACACAATATATTACAACCCTAACCCTAACCCTGACGCATAATAAGATATATAAATAAACATTTTTTTTTTAGTTATATATATATATATTTATATATATATATATATATATATATATATATATATATATATATATATATATATATATATATACATATATATATATATATATATATATATATATATATATATATATATATATTACTTATAGATAAGAAATAAATCAAGACAAAAATAAGAGAGTCTTTTGATGACTTTTTCAGTTTAACTATTTTAGGTACTATTTTTAAAAGAAATTTTTAAAATCGAAGTTTTTTCCTAATAGAAAACGTTTAGATTCTTTTTTGAATTGTTCTAGGGAAAAGTTTAGAAGAGTTTTATTTTTAATAATATTTTTCAAAAAACTTTTCCATATAAATGGTCCACGGTATTGAATTTGAAATGAGCTGAGTTTTAAATAAGATCTTGGAATAACAAACATATCAACTGAAAATTTTGTGGGGTATTTATGAGTTATTTCAGTGAAGTAAGAGTGAAATATATTAGAAGACAAACCATATTTTGATTTAAACATTAGAAGCATAACTTGGTATATATTAATTTTATTAACATTAAGTGTATTAAGTTCGCTTAGAAGAGATTCACCATTAACAGTTCTGTTAACGCCAAATATAATCCTACATGCATGTTTTTGTTTGCTATAGATTTTTTTAAGTGTCCCATAATTAGTACTTCCCCATGCAATATTGCAATAAGAAAGATAACTATGAATAAATGAAAATATATAATTTTTAAAGACTCAATATTAAGAAATTGTTTAATTTTATATAACATTGAAATATTTTTGGAGATTTTGTTTTCAATAGATTTAATATGATATTTCCATGATAAATTTTCATCTATAATTACTTCTAGAAAGGTAACAGTTGACTCTCTTTTAATAATTGTTTTATCCATAAAGAGATTGGGTAGTTTTAGAGAAAGGTTATCTCCCCTACGAGGTTTGTGGAACAAGATAAATTTAGTTTTCTCCCATTTGATGAAAGTTTATTATTTGTAATCCAGTCATTTATTTTTAATAATTCTTCGTTAGATATTCTAAACAGTTCTTTTATATTATTGTGTGAGTAAAAAAAATTCGAATCATCAGCAAACAAAATAACATTTAAAACTTTGGATGCTAAGTATAAATCATTAATATAGAGTAGGAATAAGAGTATTTTCTTTAAAAATATTTTAGAGTATTTATTTTAGAGTATTTTCTTTAAAAATATATTTCTTTAAAAATATTTTCTTTGTCCATATTTTGAAGTGCCTTGCATATATCTCGAAAATCAGTTTCTTGCAATATATCTCGAAAATCAATAATATATTTCTTTGATCTTTCAGGTTTTCTATTTTTTCTTGAATAACACAATAGTAGCAGAAGACTCGGTCAGTTCTAAATAAAATGCGATCATTTTAACAAAGAATTAGGGTAAAAACCTTAAAAACAACAGTTTTTATTTAATTTGGATTCTTTTAACGTGGCAGACAAGTCAAAAATGTATGTATCTTACCTTTCATCATAATGCAACCCTGGAAAATCTTTGAACCAACTTTGCTGTCGTGAACAATCTTGACCTCCAATTTTTGTTTTTTGGAAAACATAATGTTTGGGCGGATGAAAAAGTTGGTTTTCGTTGTAGATAGTTTCTTCTTGTTGAACTTCATTTTAAAAAATTAGACTTTTTAGGTAGTTCACTAATAGTCACTTAATTAGACGCATTTTTATGAGGAGGCTCTAAACTCATTTGCAAGGACTTAAAAACGAGCATAATTTTTTGTTTTGTGAATTGTAGTTATTAGCTGAGCTTTATCGTTAGTTTATACTTCTACATTTTACTCTACTCTCTTCGCTCTACTCTACGCTCAGTCGACGTATTTAATTTAAACAAATTATAAAATAATATAATACATAAATATATAACATATATTAGTAAAACATTATTAGTATATAATGTAACTATTGCAATACTAATAAGTTATTTAAATAATTTAAAAAAATATTACAGCTTTAAGTTAGGTAAAATAACCCCCCCTCCCCGTCGCAGTGGCCCGCAAAGACAGGTTCGGCTCCCCAAGGAGCGTCATAACCCGCTCTACGGACCAAGAGTAAAGTGAGTTTAGGAAGAACGAAGATATGTTAGAGTGAAAGATAGAAGTAGTCGTATTAGAAAGACAGCATAGAGAAAGCGGACAGGATTGTACTTGATATTAGGAGGTGCAATAACGGTAAATATTAAAGTTTTACAATATATCCGTAAAGATACATTGTTTATAAAAAACACTTAATCAAATGTAATCTTGCATATATATGAGTTTTAAAATGAATTTTCTTAATTGTGGTTTATTTCTGTTAAAATCATTTTATGGCAATATTTTCAAACATTGCGTCTTTAAAAAATTACAACTAAGGAACGCAAATACAACATAAATGCATTATTAGACATTCTTTAGAAATTCAAATAAGAAAAAACGGCTTTTATAAAACACTCTTTTCTTGCGTTTTACCGGCAAATTTTGTTATTATATCATCATATGACAGAGTCTTAGCCAACTCATTTTCCACTGAAAGCATCATGAGATCCGAAAGACGTTCTTGTCCCATAGTGGCCCTACAATAATTCTTTATCAATTTAAGTTTACAGAAGGATCGCTCACCCTCTGCAACAGACACTGGCATTGTATTAAAAATTCGAATTAAAATGCATACATATGGAAAAAAAAGCTGCAGACTCTTTGAATGTTTGAGAAAGCTCAATGAGTTTCCAGGAATAAAAAAACGAAGACTCCTTCAAACGATTAAGATACAAAATTTCTTGTATGAAGTCGTCTTCTTTGACATCATTAGCGTAGAACTGTGCTAATTCACGAGCTTTTATCTCTTGAGAATCTGGTTCTTGGTCTTTTAACCAGATGAATGAGAATCTTGAGGAAACATTCTTTACTATATCAAATCTTGAATGAACTTGATAATTAAAATGATCAAGAGCAACGTTGAAGATGTTAACCTCAAATTGATGCTCGGGGCTCTCATAGCAGAAAGCTGCATTTGCAAGTTCATCGTGATACCGTTTCGCTCTCTTCTTTCGTTTTGTCAAAAATTCCGTTTCAAAGCCTAGAGGACCTGCAACAGTTTTCGCTTCAGTCAAAATATTATTTCATGATGAGCGGATACGGCCAAGATTGCTTATTAGCTGTTGAATTAGAATAACTTCGTCATCTATTGTTAGTGAAGTTGACTGGAACAAACGGCTTACTTCATCTGCTACTTGAAGAGCTTTATACCAAAAGGTCAGTAGTACAACAGTTTCAAAGGATTTAAAAAACTTTATCAAAGACTTAGCTTGATTTAGCGTGTCAAAAGTAACGTCAAGATCCTTTATAGTACGATTTAGGGCAGTAATTATTTCCCGTGGTTGTTTTGCTATTGGCTTAACAGCGGCAATCCGAGCTGACCACCTGGTATTGGAAAAATTGTGAAGAGAGATTCCAGTCAATTCTTGCAAAATCTTTTACCTAGTCGGACTGCAGCTGAAAAACACGTAGAGAGCTTGGATATTACCGAAGAAAGTCTTCATCTTAGCACAAGATTCAACTGCATGTACTCCAGCTAAATTAAGACTATGGGCACCACAATGAATATAGAGGGCTAACAGATTTTTCTGTAAAATTAAAGCTTGTGCTCCAACGTAAATTCCAGCCATATTTGAGCCGTTGTCGTAACCTTGGCCACGGCATTTCTGCAAGTCAAGACTTACTTTTATTAAAACATCACAAAATAGTTTTGCAATATCCACTCCTTTTTTTTCTCCATGTCTTCAACGCAAAGAAAGCGCTCTTTTTCCCAGCTTTTTTTGTTGAAGCTGAAATGAACAAAGCGAAGAATAAAAGTGATCTGTTCATTGTGTGAAACGTCTGGGGTTCCATCGATAATGACTGTAAAGTATCCAGCTTCTCTGACTTCCTTTAAAAGGGCACACTGAACCAATATAGTACGCTCACGTATGATCTCATTCTGTGATTCCCATGAGAGGTAGTGTGCCTGCATTCAAGTTCCCTCTTTTTGGTGACGAGCTAGGTTTTCTAGATGGTTTTTTAACGTTTTGTTGTGGTTTGAAATCATGTCTATAGCTCCTAGAAAATTGCCACTTTCTTGCTCTCCCAGAGCAGATGTTTGACCTGTTAATAACACCAGGATCTTTAAAAAATATTGTTTATACAATAAATATCAATAGCTAAGTAAAAATAAAGTTAACCTCTAAAGGCTATGTTTCGTGATGAGAGAAACAATGTTACATTCAAAATACAGCGCGCCGCCTCGCAACCTCAGACTCTAGAATTTGTTTGATTGCCGTACCTTTTTTATTTACTATTTTCGAACAGTTTTTTCTTTTAGCTTGTGTTATGTTTTTATTTTTTTTTTTTTTATTTTAATCTATACTTATTCAAATCTTTTAACCTTGTTTTGCATTTACTTTTTTTTATTTTTATATCTATAATATAATTTTTAATTTGTTCCTTTTTTTTGTTTCTTTTCTTTTCTTATTTCGCCTTTAAATAAGCAGATTTTTACCTTTGAGATGGATTGACATTGAAATATGCACGTTAATACTTTCGTGAGATTTAATGCTGAAATGTAATCTGTTGTCACTTTCATAATATGCATATATACAAAAAAAAGTTCCCTCTGAAAGCATACTCACTGCACTAAACAAAATAACCGTAAATATGAAAACCGAAGTTGTAAACTTTTTATTTTTTTCATGAAGTTATACTATAAAAACATCATATAAAATTACAAAACATTTAAATTAAAAGTAAAACATCGTATAGAGACTTTAAAAAAAAAAAAGTTATCATTTTTTGGCGGGCCAATAATCTTGGCGCCCGGGGCACGTATGCCCCCTTTGCCCCCCCCCCTCCTCTCGGCGTTCTATATATAATATATATATATATATATATATATATATATATATATATATATATATATATATATATATATATATATATATTTATATATATATATATATATATATATATATATATATTTATATATATATATATATATATTTATATATATATATATATATATATATATATATATATATATATATATATATATATATATATATATATATATATATATATATATATATATATATATATATATATATATATATATATATATATATATATATATATATATGTATATATATATATATATATATATATATATATATATATATATATATATATATATATATATATATATATATATATATAAAATATATATATGTATTATTTTTCACATGGATCTGATTGGCGTCTGATAAAAATGAATTCCCGTTTTTGTTTATCAATGATTCGCCTTTAAAAATGATATTAAAAACGATAAAAAAACATTTTTGTTACCGTTTTCGGAATAACCTACCTAATAATTTCTTGTTTTAACATTTAAATTATATTGATATTTGATAAAATGTCAAATATATAATATATTTATATAATAATTTTTATTATATTATTTTATAATATTTATAAAATAATAATAAAAATATTAATAATAAAAATAATAATAATAATAATAATAATAATAATAATGTATTAATGACTACACACACACACACACACACACACACACACACACACACACACACACACACACACACACACACACACACACACACACACACACACACACACACACACACACACACACACACACACACACAAATATATATATATATATATATATATATATATATATATATATATATATATATATATATATATATATATATATATATATATATTAAAGGTATTAATGACTACAAAAAAGGAAGATGAACTTAACTATATGCTAAGAAATGATTCAAGTTTAGCAAATGATATATCAGAGAATGGGTGAGAACTATCCTTTTTAACCTAATCATTTTTATTCAAATTTATTCCAAAGAAGGCTGTAGACTGACACTATTTTAAATGAGAACTGGTAGAATAAAAAAGAATTAAAGCTAGGAAACGAAGCTAGAAATTTTAAAGCAGCTAACTAAAAGCAAAATAATAAAAAAAAAACCCTGATGCATTTGTAAAAAATCAGGCAAAACAAGTTTAAAAAATGTAGAAACAATCAATGTAACAATTATATAAATAACAAGTGATATAAGAATGCATTTTTGATTGGGTAACAAGAAAAAATAGCTTATTTGATCAGAAATTGTAAAACAGGGAACGAAACTCAACTTTTATAGATAAAACATGTTATATAGCTTGGCTGCTAGAGCACGTCTAAATTTGTTTACATTGTTATCTTTTTTTTTTTTTTTAACTGTTATTCTTTATTATCTCAAATATTATATCTACTTATATTAAAACTAGTATCTTAAATGGTTGCCTCAATCAGCATTTTTTTAAAAAATTATATTTTTTCAAAATTTTTTAAATATCTTCTAAGCATTCTAAATTTTAAAACATTAAAAAGATTGTAATAGTATTTATAATAGTATAATAATATTTGCTATAACAACCATATACATTGATACAGAGCATGTGAAGGTGTTGTGACAGCTGTTATTGTATTAAATTGTCAAATTTGCCTTAAAACAGTTTTATAATATATAATAATATAAGTTAAGCTGTTACAATTGTTTTACCAATTGTAGAACATAATAACATGAGAGATTGTGTTGTGACAGCTATATTGATACTTAATTCAAGCGTATATTCATTTAGGTTAATGTTTTTAAAAAGTTTTTTCTTAAGATAAATTCATTGCAATAGTTTGTTGCATCTAGTCTATTCTTGAACTGATTAATTGAGTCAGCTTCAATAACCGAATGAGGTAAACCATTCCAAGCCTCAAAGATACGATTTGTATAAAAATTAAAACAAATTTTACTTTTACAATAGGTTTTTTTGAGTTTGTGACTGCGCAGATCGTAATTGTTTTTGTTACTTACAATATTAGAGTTATTATGATTAATCCAATTAGCTATATCATGTCCATTTAGAGTTTTGTACTGTTGTATTTTCATATGGTACTTTCTTCAGAGCTGGAACTAACTTTGTTGCGCATCGTTGAATTTTTTCTAATTTTTTCATGTCCTGCTTGAGGTTAGGAGACCATACTTGTATGGCAAATTCCAAATGTGGACGAACAAATATTGTATAGAGTTTTTTGAATATATCTATGTCGAAATACTTAAATGTACGTTTCATCATTCCAAGTACTGAGTTTGCTTTACCTACTACCATTTCTACTTGTGAAGCCCATTTTAAATTCAAACATATCATAATACCAAGGTCACATTCTATATTTGACTCTTCTAATACATGGTGATAATCTATGTCTTTATCATGCATCATATTTATATGTTTGGGGCTATCATTACCAATGTGCATAATTTTACATTTATTATAGTTTGATTTTGTAAGCCACCCGGAAGACCATGTCATAATTTGATATCATTTTGAAGTTTTTTTGTATATTCTGGATTCTTAATGGCATTCTATCATCAGCATATAATTTAATAGCTTTTTCAATGTTGTCAGGTAAGTCATTAATGAATAAAAGAAATAACAAGGGTCCTAAAACTGATCCTTGTGGTTCACCACTATCTACACTCATCCAGTTAGATACATGTTCACCCATTAACACTTGTTGTAGATAATTAGTTTTATTTAAAATATTGTTTGATTGAAGATATTACGTTTTTCACGAATAATTGATTCAAGAATTTTACAAGGGACTGAAGTCAACGATATCAGTCTATAATTTGTAGCATCAGTTTTATCTCCTTTTTTATATAGTGGTGTTATATTGGCCAATTTCCATGTACTTGGTACTTTATTTTCATACATAGATTTTTTGAATATTAGTTCTAGTGGTAAACTTTAGCTTCTATAACATTTATTTAATATGTATGGACTAATACTATCAACCCCAATAGCTTTATGGGTATTTAGTTGTTTCAATTTTTTCTCAATGACTTTTCTCATAATTTCTTTTTCTATATTAAACTCCATAGTTTGATTTGATTTGATTTCTTAGCTTTGGTATATTTGCACAATCTTCTTTTACGAATACTGAATGAGAGTATTGAAATTTGAAAAAATTTTAAAACATTTTTTTGGCAAAGAGTTCCAGATGTTTTAAAAATGTTTCAAAGATGTTATGAACCTAATTTATGAAAAAATAAAATAAAAATAAAAGTCTTTATTGTGCGTTTTACTTTTGATTCTATCCTCTACCTCTATAAATATCTTAAATCTCTAAAAAAATGTTCAAATTTATTTATTTTCACTTAAAAAAATTATTTGATGTAATTAGCATTTGTAAGCTGTAGTTTTACGTAAGTTCTTTACTGCTCTATCTGTGTATTTTTAGATGTAAAAGCAAGCAATATAATGTAAAGGTCAGCACATTCAACTAATAGTGTGTCTTATCTATTTTAAAGTTGTTTTGTGCGCTTAAGTAGGTTTGTGGTTAGAAAATCCTGTAATCCTCATATGTATAATTTGTACAGTCTACACAATTTTTGAACTTTGTAAAATAATGAATTTTTTCAATAAACACATTCATTTTTTATTATTACTTTATTTTAATTTTGTTATCAGCATAATTGGTTTAGTTTTAGTTTTAAATAATTTTTTAATTTTTATATATATATTTTTATGTCAATTAAATTTAGAGTTGGATACAGATTATTAGATGATCCACAGTCTTTTCCACCTCAAATTCCACCTAGACATAACAACTACAGTTCAACCATTGGAATGCAATCACCATATGCATTAGGTAATTATATTCATCATTGTGGATATATAATATTATAAAAATTGATGTTAGCAATGAATTGTTGGTGTGCTTTGATCTAAAATATTGTTCTGAATTAATGTCTCTTTGTTAAGCTAAATCAGTAATAATTTTTATATTTGTATGTTTTTTAACTGTTAACTATATTTTTGACTATATGAAGTGGCTAAGATTTAGGTTTTTTTCCATTAAAACTGTTTGGTAATTTTAATGACTAGAACAATATTAGAACAACACTAGAACAAAATAAAATTCTTGTTTCTTTGTGGCTGCCTAAAGTCAGAGTTGTTAGTCATTGGCCTTGGCCTGGCCTTAAAGCCAAATATTGAGGCCTTGGCATTGAAAATTTTGGCCTTGGCTTTGATTATTTTGGCCTTGGCCTTTAAAAAATACATATTTTCTTATTAATTTCATTGAATTCTGCGCTTAATCTTGGTCTTTTTTTACAAAATGTGTTTTTTTTTGTCACAATACTTGCTACTTACAGTTTTGTTAATAATTGGTCTTTACATATGGCAAAAATTGAAGTGTTTGGTCTTGAAAATGTTTACATAGGCCTTGGCCTTGAAACTCCTAATCTTGGCCTTGACCTTAAAACTCTTGCCCTTGTCCTTGGTCTTGTAAATTTTGGCCTTGGTCTTGGTCTTGGCCTTGTTAGGTGTGGCCTTGGCCTTAGACTTGCTACTTTTGGCCTTGTTAACAACTCATTTTTGTCAATTTTTTCTGTAGTATTTGATTAAAAAGTTAAATAATTAAAGTTTAAAAGAAGTTTAAAGTCTAAAAGAAACTTGCTTTAATCAATTTGTTATATTTTCTAAATTTTATTTTATATTTTTATACCTTGTGTTTAATGAAGTTTATATTTATTGACTGAATTATACACAGAAAGTATGACTTTTTATGGATAACATGAGTTGATTCTACGTACAATGAAAACTACCATATTGCCTATTGTCCAGGTTAACATGAGGCATGCCTAGGGCTATTCATTAGTTAAGTTTTATATTTGGGTTTAGGTTAGGTATCAGCAAACCAGATCTGAATTAATATCCTATTTAATAGATGCTTATTGATCTGGTATGACTGGTGTAGGTTTAATGAGTGCATGTGTTACCATGGCCGCCTAGAAATATATGGTAGTTATTAAAATAGTTTTTATGTTTATAACTACTAAAGTAAATATAAAAATTAAAATTAATTAACTATTAAAATAAATATAAAATAATTGATAATAAATGTTAAAATAAATATAAAAATCAAAAACACAAAAAAATAATAATATTTTAAAATAATTTTTATTTTGTATAGTAGTAAATATTTTGGAAAATATGTTTAGCCATCACATTAAGTAGAGCAATGCAAATGATAAAATTACTTTAAATCTTGAGCATTTAAAAAAATTTAGCTATTAGAAAATGCATCATGTGTAACTATTAGTGGATTTTAAAGGGGAAAAAAGGTGTAAAGCTTTTTGAATAAGTTTACACTTTTTCTTCTTTTTATATTATTATTTGAGAAGGTGGCTAATAAAAACTTTGAAAAATTAATATCAGAAAACATTTTTCAAAATCTTTTTTAAATTAACTCATAAGAAACAACATTTTTTTAAAATTCTTTTCACTCCCAACAATGTTGCAAGCAACTACTATTAAGTTTGGAGTTACTAGAAAAAAAGAATAGAGTTATAGAGCAAGGAAATGGTTGACAGAAGACTTAAAAAGTTGAAGGTTGTCTAAGTCAAGAAAACAAAAAGATGGGAGAGTTCCAAAGTATTGAAGTGCCAGGAAAAAAAACTAGACGAACAAAAGTTTTAAGAGCATGCAGGGACAGATACAGTAAAAAAATGAGACTATGCTGAATGACTAGTCAAGTGAGAATGAGTTTTAGTTGATGGAACTAGAAATAATAGCTTCTTTGAGCAGCAACCATAATAGTATTTATAGAAAAGAAAAAGAGAACTTTACAAGGATGGGAAAGAGGCTCAAGCTTAGCAGATAGAGCAGACTACGTTTACAATGCGTTTTTGAACCTTGTCTAGAAGAGAAAGAGCATCATTAAAAGAGCTGTAGAGCAATTAAATGCGGTAGTGGTGTAGTGGTTGAGCGCTCGCTTCATAAGCTTGAGGTTCCGAGTTCGATTTCCACCATGTCCCTGGTAGTACTGCGCTCAACTTGTTTCTCTGCCCAGCGGCCTTATTCGTCAAGGTTCGTGTTTCAGAGTTATAGAGTTGAGAGAGGGTTATAACCACAAGTAGCCTCCTTATCTGTAGTAGCCTTCTCAGCCTTGGGGAGGTGAACAAAATAAAAAAAAATAAATAAATAAATAAAAATTCAGCCATAGAGCAAGAGTATCAAAAAATTGAGTTGATTGAGTCTGCCAGTAAGTTATTTGACTCAAGATGGGATGTGAGAAATTTGTTTATTAAAGACTCAAAGGCTCTCTTAATAACAGCAAGAAGACTGACCTGAGACTGACCTAGAGGAAAATAAGACTCAGTAAAGCACTTATTAAATAGGTTAGAGAAAATTGAAAAGAGTTCTGGAAAACAATTTAGTAAGACTGTGACAGGACTGTTGTCTGGACTACAAGCTGTAGAAGAGTTTAATCAAGATATAACTTTATCAACAGAAGCTGGAGTAATTTGAATGTCTAACCTTTTTAATTGGAATGGAAGTAGGAGAATGGCCATAAAATTCAAGAGTTGAATTATAAGAAAAATTCTTTGTAAATAATTCTGTTTCATTCTTGGGAGGAATAATAAGATCAGTCCCATGAGAGATGGAATGTTAAACCTACACTTGTTAACAATGCTGTTGAAGATTTTCACCAATCTTGTGAACAATGGCTTTTAAGCATAACCAATCATAAAATGATTGGTTTCCAATGTGCTTGGCTTAATAAGACTACAATATTTATCAAGAACTCTATCACCTGTGTTAAAGATTGACATAAAAGCAACAATAGAGAGTGGAATGGACAAAACATTTTATGCTAAAAATTGTATAACTGGTAATCTAATTCCAACATTCCTTAGCCACTCAAGTATATAAAATCCTTGTTTATCAATGGCTCATCTAAGTACACTTGTAATTCATCTTTTAGTTACAGCAATGAATTTTTTAAAGCTTAAATTTATTTTAGCTTTAAAAAATTCATTGCTGAATTTTTTAAAGCTAAAATAGAGTTTTTTAATCCTTTTTGTATATACAAAAGAAGCAGATGAAAAAGTCATTGTTGAAGTACTAAGTTAACGCTGGTTGAAGTTGTTGAAGTTGAAAAATTTATTATCAAATTCACTATACAATTTTTTAATTTCCAGTATTTTGAAAATTTTGACATCATTTTCTTTCCATAATTGCTACACATATTAGTTATTTGTAAATAATATGATTAAAGTAGTTTACTGTTGGATATAATGTCATATAAAAAGTTTTATCACTTCATTAAAAAATTTTAAATAGTCATAACAAACTCTAAAATTTGTTCACTTCTCTTTACTTATTGAATGTGTGTAAATTAAATCTTTTTATTTCAATGAGTAAAAGTGTTTTTGATGTACCAAAAATTACTTTCATCTGTGTTAACTGTCTTGCATAACTTGATTTTTTCATCATCAAAGATTTTCGAACAATTAATTGTATATGCACATTGGCTAACCATTTTAAAGAGAGATTGAAGATTTTTACTATACCTTTTAAACCTTTGCTTTATGTTGACCATTACTTTTTTTATAAAATGTCAAATCTTTACAGGTGCTATTTCTCTTTTTATCGATAGGTATCCTAGGTAACTCATATGAAAGTAACTATTGGATATCAATTATTGGGCTAGTAGCACTTAAATTTCTTACTTATATCATATCTGTTAAAATCAAATCAAATGAAAAAAATAAGTCATCTAAAGAAAAAGACTTGAACTTTTATTAACTTACATTTTTTTAAATTCTTTTTTATTTGTGTAATTTGATTTGCTTGTTTACTTAAACAACTGGGTTGTTTATATTTTTAAAAACTCAAAAGACTTAAATTCTCTAGAGATTTTTGTGAAACAACAAAACATAAAAGTACATACTCATAAAACATAAAAGTACATACTCATAAAACATAAAAGTACATACTCATAAAACATAAAAGTACTCTATAATATATAAAATTTGTTTTATATTTACAGTTTAGAGAAGTCTAGACTAATACTATGATTGGAAAAAAAAGTGGGATTGTTAAGAATTACTAGAATGTGGTCATTATTGAGGAATAAAATTGCTTGATCAGGTAATAAAGATTAAAAAAATTTTGAAAATAAAATAAAAGTGCAATTTTTGAAATACATACAGTTTGTTTTTTGGTAGAATAGATAACAATGGATTGTTTTTTATTAGGCAATTTAAAAGAAAATTTTGGAGACAAAATAAGATCATATTGTGGACCTTGAAAAAGCTTGTAACAAAGTACCAAAATAAGTGATGTAGTGGGTTTTAAGATATATAGGTGTTGAAGAATGGCTGCTAACTTATGACTATGCATGATTTCATTTTTAGAAAAATAGAATGGAAGCAAATGGGTTAAGTATAAACAAAAGAAAGACAAAGTAATGCATTTAAAAGCCAAAAATGAGCAAGTAGAAAATACTAATTATAATGAATTCGTAAATACTAATTATAATGAATTCCTAATAATCTAATTCGTTAAACAAATAGTAATATTTTTCAAATGAATAGTAATAATTGATTAACAAATAGTGAAAACATTTTTTTTCAAATAATACTAAATTTGTTTTCAATAGTAGTAAAAAAATTTTCAATTATTCAATTTTTTAATCAACCTAGATATTCAAATTTGTAACAAAAACTAATTTCAACCCAAAAAATAGAGATTAGTTTAATTCAGTTTTACATTACACAATTTCAGTTTTGGATATATGTAATATTATGTATAATTATGTACAAAGTGCTAAAAAGTGATGCTTGCAATAAAAGGCAATAG